AGGGACTATTCCAAAGTTTCAAAGCTTATATCCCTGGCAACGCGCAAAGAATTGTCGGGAAATTCACACCAGACACTCAGAAAAACTTGAGGAACAAAACTGTTGTCTCAGATTTCTTTTATAAACACTTTCATTTTTTTCGTCGATTGTAAAACGCACTTGCAATTCACTCATATGTTCTCTTTCTTTTTTGTCTATTTCGTCATACATATGATCTAGTTCGGTTTTTGCGATATCATATGGTATTTATCTGTTTCATCAGGTTTCCAGACAATTCTAGCTTGGTGTGATTTAGAGTTGCATCATTTTGTTCATTTTAAATGTTTCATTTTTTGCTATAAATAACGATCTATTTTAGTAGGTTCGATAGGTTTTTGTTGAATATAAATAAAGTTTTATTTGCTCGATCAACTTAGACTTTGCAATCGGTGAAAGGGATTTTCACCTGGTGACAGCGCCCGACCTAACCACGAGGTAAGAGAAAGCATAACTTATTTTTGACAAAAACTGACAAAAGGCATTTTTTAATCGAAGGTTTCGATTAAAAAATATAATATAAAAAAGAAAAGAAAATAGTACTAGAATTACGTATAGACAACTGTATAGAAGGCGTATGTTTTCTCATATATTATTATTATTATTAGTTCTTATATGCTTAGTAAGATTTGAAATAAAGATAATCAAATAGTACTAGAATTATGTACAATTATAACACCTGCAACAAAGCATTTTTCTCAAGGGAAAAATATCTTTTCTGTGCTGCTGTTTACAATCAGCAAGTACGCAATAATAACTGAGCAAAGTATTTTCAGTCTGATGAATACTTTCTTTGTTACTCTCTAGGAAGTTGCATTTAGAGAGGCTAATCCAATTATATGTTACAGTAACAGTAATCACTTGGTCAAAACACCCACTTAACGAAAATATTTGGTGGTGATTCAAGTTATAATTTACAGATTACGTTAAAGATGCCTAAATTATATTTTTCTCATTGGCACCTTTTCTCCAGTTAATGAGAAAAATAAAATTTAGGCAGAACTCACGTCGATTATGTCAACGCCAAAAAAGAAGTGAAGATGGAATTATAAGGAGCCTCCTGTCGGATTGACCAAGAAACTTTGCATCTAGCGCCCAATTATCTCGTCTTGAATAGAATTTTATATGTCTGTATTTTTTTTTATGCAGCAGCAGTATCTAGCTGTTTTATTAATTGACACAAACTTTCTTCCACTGGATCAGAAAGTTCCGGTAAACCTATCCAATTGAGTTTGAATAAGTCCCTTGATAAGACGATTAAGTAGTGGATTTCTACGAACTACTGAAACAATGATTTTTTGATGAATCATGAAGTTTTGCATACTTTTCGATCGTTTCGGAGCCGCAATATAGCGACCGAGACTTGGGAAAATATTGCATCTTATTCAGTTTTCTTTGCTCTTTCGAATGAGACGTCATTCAAAAAAAAAAACACCGAAAAAGGGCTGTAAACGACATAAGGGAAATGCATGTCAGATATTTGCAATTCGTCGCACAAAAGAACAATTCTCGTGGAAAAGGTCAAAATTTTCCTGTCAGGGACGAAAATTCTCGTAGAACAGAATAAAATTCTCGTCGTAATTTTCAGAATTCCTGTAGGAAAGTGAAATTCTCATGTGGACTGCATCCCGCGTATTCTCAATTCCTGTCACGGAAGAAGAATTCCCCTCGTGGAAAAGACAAAAATTCCCGTGTCAAGGACTCAAATTCTCGTAGAACAGATTAAAATTCTCATGGTAATTTACAAAATTCCTGTAAGAAAGCAAAAATTCTCGTGTTTAGTACGAAGTTGTCAATATCGGAGCAGAACATGGGACGAAAATGTCCTATGCTCAATACTTCATGGTCCAAAAAATCCAAACACTCATCGAAGTACCATGACGTATATATCCATCGTTTGGACTCAAAGGGTGAAATACATTCTGATTAGTTTGACTTTAAGTTGTATATTTGACGTAATAAAAGGTAATTTCATTCATCGAGAAATTTTCTACAATATGATGGTTTTTAATGAGAAATAATTATTTTTTTAGATGAAATCAGAGTAAATAATGATTTTTTAGATGAAATCAGAGCTAGATAGTCCTTCACTCTGATTTCATCTAAAAATATAATTATTTCTGATTAAAAACCCATGATATTGTAGAAAATTTCTCGATGAAGTTTTCGGTATACCTTGTTTTGCGAAATAGATGATGTATAGCGAGGTTTTGTGCAAAAAATCGATTTTTTGAAACTGAAGTTAAAGAACTTGGAGCTTTTCTTGTCAGAGTTACTGTACCAGAGATCAAAGATGAATCTTAAAAATAGAGTAGAGAAAATATAGAGAATTAAATTGTCTATGATTTGATATAAAAAGAAACTTTTTTATAAGAATTTCTTAAATAGCAAATGGGGAAAACATACACGAACATTTAGTGCATTTTATTCTGGGGCACCCGTTAAAGCAATTTCATAGTAAGTGCAGTGAACATTTCGATGAAAAGATAAACTTTTTTCAATTTTCACTTTCTCTCTTTCTATATCTCTCTACATATGCGCAGAAAATGGAAAAAAATCAAACAGAAAGAGGTATTAAGTTAGTAGTTGAACAATGAGCTATACCGCTGAGTACAGTGGTATTCTAAGTGGGGCTCGTGTACCCCGACGAGATCTTTGCGCAGTACAACGTAACACATAACGCTAATCCCGGGTATGTAAAAATCCTAAATACCGCTTCTTTAGAGAAAAATCATCAGACTCTGATAATCAGAAAGCTATTTTTTAGACGACACATTAGATTTCGCTGAAGTTTTCAGGAAATATTACTCATGGCGTAATTCAATGACGGTAAATCGTTTTCACCGCTCAAGTTATAATTTTTGGTAGATGCAGCTCCCATACACTCAAAACAGAGCCTTCGTTAGAGCTTCAAGTAGCATCACAACGCAAGAAAATTCGACGTGTACACATGCTTCAGATGTCTAAAGAATCGTCCTTCACATTGCACTAAACAGAGGTGCATCAAAACACATCAATAAATTGTGTATTTCTAATGTATCATCTTATTTTGACCCGCCGAAACCACAAATAATGTGTTGTAAACACATTAAAACGCGGTTTGGCCACGTTAACGCAAAAAGGACGCTTTAGACAAAAGTGGTAACTGTGATATAATAAAACATTTTAATTATTTTCTTTTATCCTCCACCTGCTAGATTGATCAAAACGGCTATTAGTAACGATCAACACATCTTTAATATTCTGTTTCTATTAAATATAGTTACAGTTTTACAGTTCAGTTTTCCTGCGGTTACAGTTCTACAGTTGGACACTGTGACTGTTGCATGTCTAGTGTTCAGGTAGGGAGAGAATGCGATTAAACTGGATAAGGAGGACAGATGTCCAAGGATGACTGCTGTGTGTGGTAGTCCTTAGGGAAGCCGTCAAAAGTCCCATCGGTGAATAAATTCACCGGTAATTTGATTGGAAACAAAATTAAGAACAGTATTATTCAAGATGCATGAGAAAAAGAATATGGAACTATCTATACTTGACTTGATGTTTTGTTTCTTTCTATGCACACTATAGAGAGAGATATAAAGCAAGAAATGGAAAAAAGAACAAATTTTATCGTTTTATCAAAAAGAAAGATTCTCTTCACTACGCAATTAGTGTTTATTCTGGCAACTTCCCGGATTAAAAGGCTAACAATTTTGACGGTACCCTTCCTCAGTTTTTCTGGCAGTTTGTAGTACACAACTTGTACTCTATACCATGCTATTTTTTACAAACAAGGTACCGTTTACTTTTTGAGTTATAAGGCTGTCCTTATCACAGCTGAACCTATGAAAAGTAGGTGCCTACGTCAATATAAAGCCAAATGAGTTTTCAAAGAACTTTCTGAACTACCACGGCTTTCCGGCTTTCTCTTCGGGCCATGGTAGTGAGAGATAATGTATGTAAAACAGAAATACAAATGGTTAAAAGGCTGCTATTATTCATAGTCAGTATCTTCTTGAAACAGAGCTATTGATTCAATGAATAAGAGTGTCAAATGATGAACGCTCTGTTCATGAACACTCATTCATTACCGTTATATTCTTAATTGTATAACGAAACATTCATGTCGATAAAATCCACGCACTAGTTCAGTTAGATGAAACTTTGATGTTTTCTTCTTTCTATGCATACTATAGAGACACAGATATAAAGCAAAAACTGGAGAAAAGAACAACTTTAATCGTTTTACCCAAAAGAAAGATTTTCTAGCAACTTATTCTTTCCAGTTATTCTAGGAACTTCCGAGATTAAGATGTTAACAAATTTGACGGTACCCTTACTCAGCTTTTCTGGCAGTTTGTAGTACACAACTCGTACTACAAACTTGTGCTATTTTTTAGAAAAAGCCCTCTTTAATTTTTTTGCATATAGAGATCTCAATATTACAGAATAAAATTAGTAAAATGTCTGAAATTCGCTTTAATTTTATAAATTACACGAATTTGGAATGGCAGGAATCCTTTTCAGTTCTTACACTAATTTAAAGTACACAAAGTGTAATATATTTGCCATATTGTCCAGAAACAGGTTTCTTTTAGGTTTTAAGAAATAGAGCTGCCAGTATCATACATAAAAGTTAGTAAAATGAATCCGTTTCAATTTAATTCTGGTGATTTTATCGGAGAAAAATAAATGTATAACTTGGGTTTCTCTGACTAACGAACGATAAAATAACGATTAAAAAACGATAAAATTTGTTCTTTTCTCCAGTTTTTGCTTTATATCTGTGTCTCTATAAAAAGAAAACCGAGTGGATAAATATAAAGGGGCAAAAAATGAGATTTAGAACGAATAAACAAACGATATTTTAGAGAGGGGAAAAAACGACAATTCAACTGAAGACAGATGTGAATTAAAATGAATTATATTATACTGTATATTTTAGGCAGCATCTTGACGATCCAATCAATATCTCTGCTGAGATGTCTAATTCGCTTGAAGATTCATTGATTTGTCCTATAACATATGAATTATTCAAAGATCCCGTTGTTGCCGAAGACGGACATACATATGAAAAAGACGCAATAATCGCTTGGATTAAGAAAGGTGGTACAAGTCCTCTCACACACCAAAAACTAGCAGTTGAAACACTTCGACCAAACTATGTGGTGAAAAAACTAGTAGATGCATTTGAACAGACCATTCAGAAAAAGAACTACCGGTTCAAACTAGGAGTAGATGTAAAAAAGTCTCGTAAGCCGTTGTTCCGCACATTCGGTAAGTCTATATTTGAGGCTGATTGGTTAACAAAAGAACTAGGTCCCAAAATCGTTTTGATGAAAATTGATGGTGCGCGTGCGAAAAAAGAATCGTCGTTCTACGTTGATCTTAGTCTTCATCCACATGTGGTCAGAACTTTTGGATTAGTGGACGACCCATCGCAGTCGATAAACGAATCAGTCAACTCGGTCATGTTACTTCAAGAATACGCTCCAGAAGGTAGTTTATATGAATTTCTACAAGGATTAGATAAAGTGCCAACAGAACAAATCCTTCTTCATATGTTTATACAAGTTGCAGATGCAATGGTCTTTTTAGCCCACAATGGTATCATACATGGCGATTTGGCTTGTCGGAACATACTTTTGTTCTGTTTTAATGACCAAGAACCAAGACAGAATCTTGTTAAAGTTACAGATTTTGGTCTTAGTCGTCATAGTTCAATATATACAGCTACGGATAATGTCGCAAGAACAACGTTAAATATTGTACCTACTCGATATGCAGCACCAGAAGTTCTATCGGACACTCATGACAATCCAAATGTCTATTCCGAAAAATCAGATATTTATTCGATGGGTGTTACAATGTGGGAAGCTTATTCCAAGGGAGCAATTCCATGGTCTCAAATAGAGAGTGACGAAGAAGTTCGTTGCAAAGTGATGAATGGAGAAGTTCTGAAACAACCAACAAACTGTAGTGATCAGATATGGTTGATAGTGTTCACATGTATGTCAATAAAGGTTGCTGAGAGACCAAATTTTGTGGACTTAAAATACTTACTAACGGAATCTCAGTTTACCTCGAAAGTAAGTATAAACTCATTTTACTATACTTGTTAATTAATATAACGATTTAAAAACTTGCATTTTCCTCAGATTGCTGATGTTGAAAACGTCTTTCAAGTGTCTTATGAACATGACGGTGGTATAAAAATTTTCGTATTTTTTAAGTTGTATTTAAATTTATTGTGGCTTTATTTAGGCATGTCAAAGATACCGTGTGAATTCTGCAATGAACTAATTAATATCAATGAATTTCAGTCTCACACAGTAATTTATAAAAATTATTGAACGTAATTGAACATTTTCACATACCAAGAGCACCATTGATTTGTAGTTTAAAGCCCCTAGAATCTCGACCTATGTAGAGTTTGAGGCAAGAAGTGGATTGAGCGAAAAAAAGAATCACTTTTAGTGAACAGAAAAAACGCAATGGGCACTGCAGTGCTATCAATATCAAAACTGAAGGATCTTGAATGTTTTGAATAGCTTTTGAGTCAAGATAATTCATAAAGAGATAAGTCCGGAAACCTTTTTGCAAAGTAGAGCTTTTAGGGAATCTTTGGAAAACCACGTCATAGCTCAAAAATAATTTAGGTGTTTTACATGGATAGATAGTCGCAAGTGTCCTCCGATCTCTTCATGTTTTGTTGTTTGGACATGACATTGGATTTTCTAGCCGTTTCAGGACTAGTATGAGATACACGTGGGAACCATAATGATAACTGGAACATAAGTTATCAATCATACTGAGCCTTGCGGCAACGTTTTTTTATTAGAAATTTTCGAAACGTAGTGAAAACCTACTTTAGGTGAGATAACTCATTTTATGCTATTTTCATACCAAACCAGTAGTACCAAGTGCAGAGAAAAAGATTGATAGTTTGCACTGAGAATGCTATTTTTAATTTTCAGCAATGGTGCTCTGAAATGGAAAATGAACGTTTGCAACAAAAAGCACAGTAAGTACTGAATGGATAACGAATTAATCTAACGAGCAGTTTCATTGGCTATCGACCACTTTACACACGAATTTTCTCATAAACTCTGAGATCAATTTACAAAGAAAGAGCGTCAAATTTTAACCACGAATATCTTTTAAAGTTTCCTAACACATCGACACGGTGTCCGGAGCGAGGTTGACATTCGTGACGTCTGACAAAAGGGGCCAGCTTTAGTCGTTTCTCTGTAAGAATAAACAACGGAGAGTTCTCCAAACAAAAAATACCTGAAAGTTGCTATTTTTACCAAAAGTACTACTGCATAGGACTATTAAAATAACATAAGTACGAGAACTTCAAAACGTATACTAGTGGTATAACCTATATAATAATATCGTGAAGAACGCAAAAATAGAGTTAATCGACATGCATTTTTTTGACATGAAACGGAAACGTAATGTAAATTAGTCAATTAAACACAGATGTTCAAGCTCCAACCAATGACATATTTTGAATTTGTTTTGACCTGTTATGTATGAATAAAAAAGAAGAAAGTTGAAGAGCGGTGTTGCAAAAACTACAATTTTGCACCAACGTTGAGAGGTCACTATAAGTTCCCTTCCTATTTCGAAGCCTCGTCACTTATGTTCTCAAGTATTATAGGCTTAAGACTAGCATTCGTGAAAAATTGGAGCTGCTAAATTTTATGATTCGAGAAATCTTTGTTGAGAGTCGGGTAGATTTTTCACAACTATTTTAACACTGTCTTAGCGAGTTCAAAACAAACAATAGATCCAGATCCAGTATCAAAGAACTCAACTAAATGCATTCTTTTATGTAATAATTTAGACTGTTTGATATAAGCTTTATTTGATAAATATAATGTGGTGTACAAAAAAAAGAATGAAACAGAACAGAACAAGAAGAAAGAGGCAAACCCATTATATCTTTTTGTTTTGTGGACGTGAAGCTTTCAAGTTAGACTGGAATCATCATCAGCCACATAACATAAAAATAGAACTTCTCTTTTTGATGATGACTCTAGTCTGACTTGAACGCTTCTACATTATTAATAAAAAAATGAATTTAGTTGAGTTCCTCGTACAAATATTATTCATGTTTATCTGATTAACGTCTTCAAAAACGATACTAGCAATATCAAAGCTGCGTCAGATCATATATTTTACAAACGTTTTTACAACAATAAAATTCGATCAAAAATGTTTACCTGAACGCTCCAAAGTAATTTATTTAAAAAACCTGTTTACACCAAAACAATGTATTCCTCCTTTCAAGTATCCCCATAGACCGTTTCAGACCGTATGACGCTAGTTGCAAGTCTTTCAACATTCTATTTTCCACATTTTTAAGAAACATATTCCAGACCAATGTTTGATGCATCCTCGCTCTGGCAGATAATCTTCTTTGTCTACCCGATCCCGACAAGGCACAAGCGTGCATAGACGAGATTCTGGTTTGGTGTGAAACGAATTTTGTCACTTTAAACGTTTCAAAATGTAACCCGAAATTGTCGAAAAATGCTTTTGGTTATATTTCCTGTTTGCTCCGCGATTCTCCTAATTCTCTTCGTGTTAGACCCCCTTCCTATAGCTAATTCGACATGCTCTACGATCTAAACAGATCAGAATCTCGTAAGAGGGATCTCCAGAGACAGGATCCATAACAGAAATATCTAGCTGCCCAAATAAATATTAGATTCGAGATCAATACCAAAAATTTACTTATAACCAAGTAGGTTTTAAGGTAAAAGCGATTTGGAGACCTTCCCTCGTCCGTGAAGATCCATTCAAACTATTTCAAAATGTCAAGATTTGATCTGCAGTATACCTCGTAATTCAGGAAGAATTTTAAAATTCTTCCAAATCAATAGAAAGTACTTTGGTTTTTGAAAAGTGTTTCTAGAAATCTTCTGAAAGCAAGCGAATATTTTTTTACCAAGAAACGGACAAAACCAAACAGAGTCTGTGTCGATATTTTGAAGTACTTTGGAGATAGATCTTCACCAAGTTTAATTTTCATCAAAAATAGCCCAAACTAAGCTGTTTTAACTAAATAAGGCATTTCACTAGGCTTTTGAAGTTTTTCCAAACCAAATATTGCCTAGGGATTCAAAATGGTCGATAGCCTATGTTTGCCAAAAGTCATCGAAATTCGATCATTGGACTCTTGAGAAAGTCGTTGGCATGCTTAAACGAAGAAAAATGAAGAGATCGGATAATTCTCATCTTGAAGATGACATTCTCGGCTATCTGTCCTTGAAGAAAAGTCAGTTTATTTGTATTTGTACTTTTTGGACTATGGCCTCCTTTACTACAGACCTCCTGGAAAACCTTCTTAAAGAATTGTACTCCTTATGAAAAGACAGCTCAAAGTTTCCTCCGCATGGAGAAAATCACAGCTGGCTATTTCACTTCTATCAAGACTAATTTGAAACTGGCGAACTGTATTACTTTCTTCTATGGGTAATAACAGTAAAACTGCAGCCCTACACTCAGCAGAATTCAATCAATGCTTCCGTATTTAATCATTTTCCAGGTACATACCACAACAGCGCGAAACCATAACAATACCATACGAATATTGTCAAAAGCCCTGCTCAACATCTGAACTGCAATTTCATCAAGTAAGTTGAACAAAATCACACCATATACACACACTTTGTGTTGCGTATAATCAACGACCATATCTCTTCGCGCCATTAGAGTGGCGTCATTTTCTTATCTTCTGCATATACGAACTGTGACTTCACGCTACTAATTTACTTACATCATTGCAACTAACACTGTGTATTACAATCAACGATAATCAATTGGCGCTATTTCTTTTCTTGTGAATGAATGAACTTCATTTGATGCGACTAATATACTCCCAGCATCTGGGTTTTATACACACTTTATTTAGTTACAACCAATAATTGTTTCTCTCTGTTTCTTATTCTATTATAAAAGAAAAGTAGCGTCATTTTGTTTTCTTCTGAATGAATGGCCTGTCATTTAATGTGACCAATTCACTTGCATCATCATTGTGCTAACTTTGTATCAGTCACAATGAACGACCATTACTCTCTTACACAGTGCTCGATTTTCGATCGTGTGCTATATGTTGACACGTAAACGTATGATGTATAGGATGGGCTTTTAAAAACTGCTTATCGCTAGTAATTATTCGGGATTATTTTGAAAATTTGAGCTATATATTTTTTACTGTTGAGTTTCTTTTCTTTATTTAGACACCTCCTGGCACGATACAGTTTAATTACAAAGATCACTGGAAAGACGAAGAAATTTCTTTAGAAAGAGTACGCTATATACGATAAAATCTTAAGTTTATAATTCTTTCGGCACTTTTAGACAAATGGTGTTCCACTTGGCTTTGCTGTTATGGTCGGATCTGACAGTCCATGTACCATGGAGTCGCCATCTGTTACCGTTACACGAATTATAAAAAATGGAATCGCTTGGAAGGACAATAAATTGAGGTGAGCTGCAAACGCATGACATTTGAATGGTTCGAAAAAAATGGAATGCATGTAGCTGTTTGCTTTAGACTTCATGATATTATATTGCGTGTAAATAATATTGATTTTACCACTATAACACATGCAGCGGCTGTTGAAGCATTAAGAAATGCTGGCAACAAAGTAACAATTGTAAGTTGACAGTTAAATAAACAAAGAATTTAAATCCTTAACACAATTTTCAAAACCGTGAATACTCTTATGTTATGTGTTTTAGTACATTCGACGTTTAGCACCACCTTATATAGAAAAAATTGAACTTCACAAGTCGTCCATTACATCACTAGGTTTTTCAATAGCAGGAGGAATTAACAACGAACACGTCAAAGGGTATGTGTTATTTGACAAAATATCAATCCATTTATATATCATGATCTAGGTTTTTTTGTTTTGTAGCGATCATGGTATATTTATAACAAATATTATTCAAGGCGGTATTGCTGGTCAAAATGGAAGATTAAGAGTGGGAGACAGACTCATGCAAATTTCGACATCAGTAAGAAAGACTATTTCTCAAAAAGTGCCTTTAATTTTGTGTATTCATAAAGTATACAGATACAACGAAGTTATTTTCTAAACAACAAACTACATCGAATTATATATTAATCCGACAAGACTCATTTCCACTTTTATATTAGTTTGAAGTACACAAGCTGTACACTATTAAGCTGTAATTTTGCAACCTATCAAGTTGCTATTGTTCTAACTAATAGGCCTATGGAACTCACCCTCAATATGAAAAGTTGAACACATTTTTAATTACACAGTTATTACAGGTACTACCTTAATTGAACTGTCAAAAATCCGGTACAAATATATGCTAAAATTCAGCAGAACTCATCAGACGGCTACTAATCTCTAGAACCAATCGTTCTTGTTGTACTTTTCACTTCTTATAACAGAGAACAATCTCGTCTATAACTTATCTATTTGTCATTGATATCAAACCGGTGGCACTTAAACTCTGACTTCTCCGTGCAAATTAAACGGACTGACCCTAATTACCCCACGGGACTTTTTTTCGAAAATCGCACATTCTTAATTAATTAACGGCTAGTACAAATAGCATGCAATTCATACAGATGATAGAGCTTGAAATTCTCTACAAGATGATATAATTTTTAATTACTTTCCTTGGAATTCCCCGCTGAAACTACTACGTCAACTTAAGATTATCCCAGCCATTTTTGCTGTATTGACCATAATTATCCCGTTTGGAGTAATTATGGTCAATCGAAAGGTGGTCTCTGGAAATTGATTAGTACTAATGAACGCTAATGAATTTTAAGAAAACTTTTACGTCAATTGATAGCAAGGAGTTACCTCTATTTACCCGTAAAATATCGATTTTCTCGGATAAAAAATTGAGCAAACTATAGCAGAAATACGACAAAATTCTGGTGATCTGCCCATAATTACCCCAAGGCACTCTTCGTAGAATAAGGAGAATAAATGAGACGAAAAGGGAACATCAAAAGGAAAGCGGTACCTTTCATAGAGTTAATGTGGTGTGAGATACCGTATTTTTTACATGAAACTAGTTTTTCGTTTGTTTCTGAAAAAGACTTTGCACCCAAAAATAAACATCAGATTTGAATTCTACATGGAAACACGAATTAGAATATGTATTTGGTTTCTTTCAAACCGCCCTCAAAAAACTATTCTGATTTGTTATGGTATGAATGTGACGTTTGTCACCCTTCTTCCTTCGTGTTGATGATGTCAGTTCAACCTGTTTAGTGTATAATAACAACTATTTTCTGAATTCATCATTAGGACTGGCGTTGGATCCCATTTTTCATCGAATAAACACATGCTAGAGGCGCAAATCTTCATTTCCTGCTAACAACGGATTAACTTTCGACCAAACGAAGGTCGCGGCTTTATCCACTGCATAGTCAACCATGCCTAGAAGAGGTTAAGATAAAAAACGCATTGAATGAGATGCGCAAGTTTGAAGGGCGGTTAGCCGTAGCACATAAAAATAGCAATTATCAGCGATCAAAAGCCACGAATAGTAATAGATACATAACAAAAATAAGTTATAACCAATTAACGGCGAACGGCAATCAGATTGACCCCTACTAACGACTTTAAAAACGTTCATTATCTCTAGAATACCAAGAACTTGTTGAATACTATAGATTTCACCAGTGTCTATGACTTGATTTTCGAAAATCAAGTTTTATCGAAAATGGACCCGCGGTACTGTCTAACAAAGTTCTGTATTACAGTCAACTATTGCTAAAGTATTCCAATCATGATGGATTGTCAGAGAAGTAATAATACAGACCTGTTCTGTAGTAAAGTGCCGCTAATTCAAAATTATAGCACTTTTCATTTTTCGCTTAAACATACATCCCTAGATTTGATTTTCGACGCTAAATCCAAATATGGCCTAACTTTTTCGATCTGACAAAGCTTTCATGGGGAAAAATGCAAAATACTGGGAGGGTGTCAAGATCCACAAAAGGCTCACTTATAGAAAAACATCATTTAATTCTTTATCATTCCACTTTTTGCTCCCACCAATATGATTTTCGGATTCTTCATATAAAATTCAGTCTAGAAATGTTGTTTAGAGCTTTATCGCATATTATGTGTCCATTCTACAAATCCATGATACAGCATCAGTCCGATTGTATTACCTAATTTTGCAAGCCTATCTAGTTTTTTCTGTTAAGACATAGAACCTTCATTCATACGCCATTCGAATCACTGTTTGACGAACAACAAAAGTATGAATCGCTTTTTTAAAATTCGTTTTCATTGTTGAAAAAATTCATTTTTTCTAAATAGGGATGTATCAAATAAGATGTCTTTCCTTTTCTTTCACTTCTTGGCAAATGTGTGCGTATGCGTCGATTCTACAGAACGGAGAAAAAAAAGAAAAATAACAGAACGAAAGAAACAAACGTTGTATGTTTGTTTCTTTCTTATTCACTTCGAATTTGACGAGATATATCCATTCTATCTAAGCATATCTCGGCACTTCTTAGCAATTCAAACACCTATGCATAATACACCACAGGTCTAAGTATAAATGCTGATTTTTCTTCTGTTCAAACTACAGTATTTGTATCTATCTAACGAAAGTTTTGCTTTTTCTTCTATCTCACACATGAAAGAAAAATATTAGTTATCGACCCGGCTGCATAACAGTTCATTCGTTTTATGTAGAATTGTTAGCTATCGAAAAAGCAAATCACTTTTATTGATACGAAACAATAAGAGAAAAAGCTTGCACCTTAGTATGATGGGCTCTTTTTTGGTATTTGACTTATTTCCGTTTCTCTCGTGTTTCGTCTCTTTTTATTTTCAGATCTGTCTTTTGATAGTTTTCTGGAAAATTATAGCTGTTATTTACGTAAATATCAAGGCAAAAAAATATGAGTTCGTACATTCGCCAAAAAAGCTGCACACTGACTCACCGCTCCCCACAAAAAATTATCATCTCTATAAACGCTGCTCACCGCTTTGAAAATTTTTAGTTCATTAATTACGTGTTCGACAAAGATTCGCTTTTGACTGAGTTGATAGTTGAATATTGTCTAGAATGGTTGTGGGAACTGTTTAAGTTCGTTTTTTCGTATGGGTGTCAGTAGATTTCCTCCGTTTGAAAATCCCTTGTCAGCAAGGAGTCGGGTATGGGGTAATATAGAAGAAACACCGGCCTCACGAAGCATCATGCTATCGTGAACAGAGACATTATAGCAGGATTTGAGGAATATGATTTTTCTGCTCGTAGATACAACTATTATTGTCCCAAAACAATGATTTTTGTTTTTGCCGCTGTAGTAACAACAAACAAACTCTTGAATAAAGGACAATTGCGATACAAAACCTCTTAGTGAGGAACAAAAATGAGGGACATTCAGTTTCAGAAAATAACGTAACATACCCTAGAAAAAAACAGGATAAAATACAGAATAAAAGATAACACAAAAGTTCGATGTTTTCTTAAGCCGTCGTCAGCTCGACAAGGGTCTCGACTAAATTATTAACAGAAACAAATGTTATGTTAACAAGTGTTCAACATAATTGACTCATCATTAATAGATACACATATTTTTACTTGAGGACATTCAGTAGAACGAACGTTTCTCAAAATATCAAAATCAAATGTCTCAAAATATGAGATAAAATGTGTGAGTAAAAAATCTGTACAGGACAATTACTGTTACGACGAACTATGAATCATCTGTAATAGGCTCATTTGACATTAAATTTCAAACATCAACAATGTTTATTGCGGTAACATAAGTATTTGAACATGTTTTAAAGCAGATGATATGCCGATTTCATATGGATTTTAATTCGATAAATAAGTCCAGAGTCAGTCTTGGCGTAAATAATCTTTTTCAAGCAAATTTTTTGCACAAATCGTGCAAACGAAAGACATATGACACACCTAATCATAACGATTAGTTCCAAATGTTGTCATTTTCATCGTCTATTTCTGTGACTAATGGAAGTATACGTTGTTGTGTATAGAGTTCAACGGGTGTGAATACGTTTTGAATTCGACTTATAACGTTGTTGATTCTGGCTGATGCTGGTGGTAAACGTCTTTTTTCGAGTTGGTTCTTCCTCTTTTCCATAACGATTCATATCAGCGATAGTTAACGGTCGTTTCGGGACACTGCTGGATGAACTTGATCGTAAAGATGTGACTTCGAAACCCCGCGGAAGACGATCGTAGCGCCGACGGGCCTAAGGAAGGTGACATCTGATATTCATTTGTGGTTCTTGGTTCTGGATTCAATCGGTTATTCAATGTTAACCCTTTGGGGACGGGTGACGTTTTAAAACGTCATTAAAACGTCAAAAATCGGAATAAGTCGTGTTTTCCAAAACTTTCTTTTGAAGAAACGTCTCTCAAAACTAGATCATAATCAAATTTC